TGATTCATTGCACTGGACAGGGATTCATTCAGCTGTTGTGCTAATTGAGAACAAAATAGCACAGTGAAAATCAGAAGCCACCACAGAAATTTCACCATGTCCTGAAGTTATCACTTATTTCAGAGCTATGTACCTGCTACAGCACAGAACAGAAAACCTTTGTATCTGACGCCACAATTAATATGCATTCATACTGTAGACTGTAGACATTGTTTATATGAATTATCCAGATGATAGAAACTTACACTTTTAAAAGTTAAAATAGTTTTTTGAGTCACTTTAAGCTCTTTGGTTGGAAATTTGGAAAATGTGCCATTTGTTCCTTGTTTCTTAGCACACTACATGCCACACAGCCTAAGACGTTCAGGGTCACATAGCCTCATTGATCTATCCCCCTCAGGTGCTTCTGCAAAGTCTACCATGCTTCTCAGTATTACCCAGTTCATAGAATGTCACTACCTCATTTCCTCTCTTGTTTTTTAATTACACATCTCCTCTTATCATAAGGAAGCATGTTCACTTTCTGTTGTTGCCATTATATCTGACTTCTGCTTCATCTCTTCCTACTGACCTGTGGGGGTGAGGAGTCACACAGGCAAATTCATGTGGACCATGTGTGAGGAAATGTTTCCCTGATATATGATTAATGATCTTTGATTTAGGGCCTATGGTCTGTCCTATGAATAAAGTTGAATGGATTCGTGACTATTTCAAGAGGTCAAAAGATTAGGTTTAAAACCAATCCTCTATTTGAAAGCATGTGAGTGACAGTGGAGAAAGGAATGCAGCTGAAAGTTTAACAGCTTGAGAGGTGAGCTATCCTTTTCCTCAAATGGCAACACTGTTTGTAGAACAGTTTGTATTCTTGGTTTTATGTTGCACCACCATCATACAAAATGTTATCATCCTGCATTTCAATTACAGACAAAAATGATACAGAAGGGGCCAAAATCTTGACTTTTAGAAAATTAGAGAGTGTACTTCTTTGGATGTGTCTTTGTCCTGACTCTTCATTTCACTGCCTTTATCTTAGGTACTTATGTATCATAGGCTAAGAGACCCTGCTCCAGTATAAGTATCTTTTCTCAAGATACCATTAAACTGCAATGTTTCAGGAAGTTTCCCCAACAAAAGAGAAATCTTTATTCAATCAGTACAAATTTCTTTAAAATAATAATATGAGACTTAGTATGGTGGCATACGTCTATAATCCCAGCACTTAAGAGGCAGAGGCAGGCAGATCTCTGTGAGTTCAAAAGACAGTCTGCTCTACAGAGTGAGTTCCAAGCCAACAATGCAACATAGTGAGGCCGGTCTCAAAACAGTAATAATAATAATAATAATGATGATGATGATATAAACTGAGCATGATGATTTGGACCTGTAATCTCAGCACTCAGAGGAGGATCATCTGAAGTTTTGGGGAAACCTGGGCTGAGGGCAGGTTGGGTCACAAAGCAAGATCCTGTCTCAAAAAACTGAAACCACACACACACACACACACACCTTTTCTTGTGCCATTGTTAAAAATATTAATGACATTAGTGACCAACTACCCTTGCCCTCACTGCCTTAAAAAATGTTACTTAGCATAGTTACTCCTGACTTCCTTTAAAAGGTTATTTCTTCCTTTTAAAAGGTTATAATTGTTATGTTTCAGATATATAATATGATGTTGCAGGCTACAAACAAAGACTTAAAAAGTAACCATAGTGAAGCAAACCAACATACCTATCTTCTCACATAGCCACTCAGTTTGGTTTTGTTTTGTTGTTTTTGAACACACCACTAAAATCAGCGCATTCAGCATGAATCTCAGACACTGTAAGTAACTTAGCACGGTAGGTTTGCATCTATCTCAGTGAGCATGAAACCAAAACAGGCATGACTAAGAAATGAAAGTGAGGGCAGTTTGCTCCCTGCAGTAGGTAAGGGAACAGCAGAATTGCTTTCTTCCCAAAGCAGCACTTTCTTCAAGTGAAAGCAGCAAAGGGATTTTACATGGGAAGGCTCTGTAAAGGTGGGCATGTTCCTGGAGCACTCATGCAGCGAGCACATTTCTGAGCACATTCAGTTTAAGAAGGAAGGACACATTTTTGAGCATGCTCATCTCAGGGTTATGAAGCACACATTTCCAAAGCTAAAATGGTAGATAGGGACACTTTGGGGTATGCTCAGCCTGTAATATAAAGATGGCAAAAAGGAAATCATCTGGGCATGCTTACTTTCCACATAAGGTTTTAGTTGCAGAAGAGACAGGACACTTTGAAAATGCATTAATACAGGTGTTTGTCCCTAAAGGTACCTACCTCACAACTCAGCAGCCAATAAATACCCTCATGTTGGACATGGATCTCTTTTCAGTTTCGTAAAAGTGAAACCTTACTGTCATCAATGGTCCTTCCCTCCATTCCCCATTAAGTCACACAAGTAATGTGTATGGTTCATTCCAGGCCTAATTTGCATTTTATCTTCTCACTTTGAGCTTGACAAAATTCTAACCCATATGTCACCCCAGAATGTCCGCTTACCTTTTTCTACCCTAATCTATGCCAGAGTAGCTTCGTTCTCTGTTACTTCAGGCCCTGATATCTCCATTCCCTGAATATTGTCACTGGAGAACTCTGGAGATGTTTCTTGCTTCCATTTGAATGCTATATTTTCACCTTGAGTTCCTTCTCTGCTTCTTACCACCCACCTCCTCCTGTTCAGTCTTTACATTAGCACCTTCCAGTTTTATATGTTCCATGTCACTTTGCCAGTGCAATTAAAGAACTGTGTCAGAATACTCTGTTCTGACCTCTCTACTGCAGGACTCAGTCCCTGATCACATGTCAATACTTTCAGCTCCCCCTTGAAAATGTTTCTTTTCCAAATGCGTAGGAATTTAGTGATCACTTTCCCCATTTAACTTGGTCAGTCATTTTCCCTTTTACATATTTTCCAGAGTCTCTTGGTAAAGACTTGCGAGCTACTTTTGGTTATTGCCAGACAGATTTGGTTACTGCCACATTGTCTTGGTTATTACTCTCCATATCCCCACCCTCAGATCGTACCTGTCAGAAATGGCAGGACTGGACTTTTGGACATTTAGTGTGAAGTAGTATGGTAAGTCAGACAAATATTCCTCACATTGGGCAACCCGAGACTTCCCTTTACCACTCCATCCTTCGTCTCCTACGCCTTTCCAATCTGTCCTGGGCTATCCCCATGCCATGGTGAATAAACTCGCTCTAATTCACCTCATCCTCAAAGAATTCTCTCCACAAATGTGGGCCTTCCTTAAAGACACTGCTGGATCTGACTCCAGAATTACTCTGGAAGAAAAGAGCCCATTTCTTGCAAGGATGAACACTTCAGGGTAAGGGTAGTGGGAGGTCTAACACTTTGCCTGACTGCTTTCAGCCCCAGGACCTTTGAGTAAATATCTTCCTCAGCTCCTCAGCTCTAGCTAGGTCTACGAGGTCAACTCACTCAACACACACTTTTTTCCTGGTAATTTTCCTCCTTGTTGCTGATATTCTTTTACTCATCCTTCTAGCTTGCCTTCTGGATTCCACCTCAAACCCTCGTAGCACCTGGGAATATTTCTCCTGCAATTTTCTACCCCTCCTGCTTCCTAAGGCCCTTCAAGCTACTCCCTGACCCTGGTGAGCATTCTAATCCTTCAATCCTCTCATTTCTCCCACACTGGCTTCTCTTTCTTCCTTCCCTAGCTTGATTCCTATGGCTGATATCTGGAACTTGTCCTTACTAACTCCCTCAGCTCCCTACCAGTAAACCTTTGTCTGAAATTCCTATACCACCAACTGCCTGGGGAGCTTCCAACTTCCTATGAACACCATCTCTAGCCCTGTAACCTTGCTTAGGATGCTGGAAATCTCATCCAAATATGTTTCAAAGTGCCAGGTCCATTGACCTACAACTAGTTTGACCTATCCCATTTTCTTCCAAGTTGCCATTATGGATGAATGAAACAAAATATTGCATTTCTGTTACAATGTGGTTCTTTATAAAGGCTATTGGGTGCTCCGGGAATGGCTGAGTATGCCTTTAATCCCAACACTCAGGAGGCAGAGGCAGTCAGATCTCTGTGAGTTCGAGAACATCCTGGTCTACAAAGAGAGTTCCAGGACAGTTAGGATTGTCACACAGAGAAACCCTGTCTCGAAAAACCAAAAATCAAATGCTGCTAGGGAAGAGAGTGAGGGAGGGAGAGAGAGGGAAGGGGAAGGTGGGGGGGGGGAGAGGAAGGAGAGGGGGAGAGGGAGGGAGAGGGGAAGGGGGAGAGAGCATGAATTTGAAGTTGGGTTGGTAGAGACATGGGAAGGATCTAGGAGAAGTTGGGACAGGGGAAGGAATATGATCAGAATGTATTATATGAAAAAATTAAATAAAAATATAATAAATATTATTGTATCTATAATATAATCTGTAGAATGGAAGTCTAAGATAATATGGAAACTGAAAAATGAATTGCGGTTAATCTTGCCAGTCATGAGGATGTCGTAGATGGATAATAAATGCACCAGCAGAGTGACTGAACTCAGAGCTGATGAATCAAGGGAGAAAAGACAGCAATTTGAAATTTACTAAAGGAATCTCTTTTCGCACATAATTAGTATGTGATCAAAGACTCATTATACGATGTGTTAATTTCCAAGCAAAATAAAGCAAACTGCACTCCTCTTCATCCTGTACCGCTTGAGCCTTTATGACATAATAAAGACAGCTAGGTACACATTCTAACTGAAATGCAGATAGCCACAATGTTGAACAAAGAATCTAATTACATTTTATAGCAAATTTCTGAGATGTGTGAAAAAAAATCAAAAGACATGTCTCTACAAATCTTTGAGCTTCTAAAATGCAAAAAACCTGTTATATTACATTTACATTTGTGTGTATAGGCATGCATACAACAAAACTAATATTGTTACATGCCGTAGGACTGCACTCACTCAACAAAAGCACAAATAGTTAGAAAAGCAATCATTTACCTTATAGAAGATCAACAAAAGATCATCCAATTTCCCATGCAAGTCACCTGGAATACAAATGAAAAAAAAAATCACTATTCAGTAGGCACCAAAATGCAATGCTTAATTTGTTACACAATTTTAAATCTCAAATACCCCAAGTATTCTCATGTGGTTGGGGTTTCACCTTATATTGATGATACTAATTCATATGCAGTTTTCTTCCACAGATTCTTTCATCTCCTCTTATGCTGTGTAGGTGGTAGTGGGGCAGCAGCTGGAACTGTTTGCTCTAGCCATTTATGTTGTTAATCTCTATACTAAGAATTTTACGTTTATTTTCTTGTTCAATCCTCAATAATCATTTTATGAGATGAAAGGTATTGTCATCATTCTTATATTTCAAATGAAGCACAGAGTAAAGAAACCTATACAGTTACCCAGTCACCAAAATCAGGGCTAGAATTCAAACCCAGCATTCTCTCACCTCAAAATTAAAACTCAAAGTGATTTCCTCTGTATTGCCTATATGTTAATGCTCAGGAAAGCAGCAAAAATACCTGTTACAGGAAGCGTTAACTCTCTCAGGGCTTACCATAGAACCTAGGAGACTGTAGACACTCAAAAGTGACATGACATGCATTTAACCACTAAATTAACAGCAATTCATTGCTGGATTTTGCTTTATTTTATTTCTAATTTTAAAAGTTTAAAATTTCCCAGGCATCAGCCTGGGAATCCAGCATGGGACTGATCAAGACCCCCTGAATCTGGGTGTCAGTGAGGAGGCCTAGGGAATCTATTGAGCCTTGGGCAGCAGATCAGTACCCATCCCGAGTATACACACGGACTTTGGACTCCCATAGAACAATGTGAGGTGCACTCTCACCTTGAACTCTTGGGGAAGGATCTAGGCCCTGCCCTATATGAAATGACAGACTATGGACACCCCCATGGAGGGCCTCACCCTCCCTGGGGGAATGAGGGGATAACGGGGGGGGAGTTGGGAGGAGGGTACGGGAGGAGGGGAGGGAATGGGAGAGGGACCTGGAACTGACTTGTGAAGCAACCTCGTTTCTTATCTAAATTTAAACTGGAAAAAAAAAGTTTAAAATTTATGACCAGATAGCTGAGATTCTTTTGATGAGACAGTTATAGGAAAAAACAAATGCCAACTATGAGAAACTATTGAATATATGACTCATTAATTAAAAAGACTGACTATATGAATATTCAACATTTCTATTTGGATAAATAATTTTAATTAAAATATCTATCTCTTATAATCTTTGCTCGAAATTTGTATTCAATTTAATTACCATGTAATTTAATTTATTTTCTGTTTATTTAAAATCCCACAAAAATAAATCAATTATATGTGACAGAAGACTTGAATTACACTAAAAATAATAAAGTTTAAATCTTACATCATCAGCACTTATTTATAAAATTGTCATAATATTATCTCAATATTAGCAATAAGATAAAGGGCATATTGATGTTAGTGGATACTTAAATGCCAATACTTCTAGATAGTCTCACTTCAAAACTTAATTAAATATTTAATGCATTTTGCTAATTATTTTGTTTTCCTTATTTGCTTCAGAGTCATTTGCCTTTTAAAACTATGAGTATTTTGGCAGTAGAGATGATTCAGTGAGTATAGTGCTTGCTATTCAAGCCTGACAACCTGAGTTCAGATCCCCATCAACCAAGTAAAAAAACAAGGTGCACTGTTTTGCTGCAGGCAGCAGAGACAGGCAGAGTCCTAGAGCTCACTGGCCAGTCAAACTTGCCAATTAGTGTGCTCCAGGTTCAGAGAAAGTCCCTGTCTTAAAAAGTAAGTTGGACAGCAATTGAGAAAGACATCCATCATCAATCTCTGGTCTCCACATGCATGCACATGCACACACACATCACCACCACCACTACCACAAACTCCAACAACACAAACACCACCACCACCACTACAATCACCACTCATACAGAAATTTGAATATGAAGTACCACAATAGCTGGCATGCTAAAATATGAAGTTGTTTCAACATATTAAGATTTGAGGATCCTTGGTTCAAGTCACAGCACATTGGATAAAAGAAAGCTATACAATATTTTTAGTTTATAGTTAGACATAAGATCAACATACCATGGAAAGTCAGACATAAAGATATTTTCACTGCAAGCAATGACTTGAGTACAGAATTGATTATGATTTATAACATGAATTGTAAACTAAACAGCAAAACTTCAAGACACTAAGGCAGAAGGATCAAGAGCTCAAGACCATCCTACATTACTCAGTGAGTTCTAGGCCAGCATCAGTAACATAATGAGATATAATCTGATTTTTTAATTAAAAATGGTAGGAGTCATAAAATAATAATTTATGTTAAGGAAATCTACTGATTTTGACTTTTTTTCTCTTTATCAAAGGTGCTATGTGGGGGGGAATCTGAAAATAAATGACTAAAATGTAGGGTCCCTTAAATGAATGGACTTATCCATTCCACCTGGTCTCTGGTACTTTTCTGATGAGGATAAGTGAAAAACAGCCAGACAAGTACAAAGATGACACTCTCCCTAGTCTGGGATATATAAGAACTCACTTTTAATCCCAACTCTATCATTGACTAGCTGAGCAACCTAGCATGCAGGGTACTATGTAGAAATGCATTGACAACATGTATTTTTCTCTAGGCCACTATGTCACACATAAGGACAAGATATAGGGGTTGGGAATATAGTTCAGAGATAGAGTGCTTGCCCAGCACATGGAAGGTCCTGGGTTTGATCCCTAACATGAAAAAAATTAAGAACTTAGCTTTGTGTAAAAGGATCAGAACATCTTTGTAAGGGATTTTCAGTTCTCATACTGTGGAATACTAGGACCTCCATGCCCTCTAATTCCTTTCTTCTTCTAGGGAGCAATAGCACACATCTGTAACCTCAATGCAGCTAGATCTGCAATGGCAACTGGAGGGCTAATGGAAAATGCACAGGATCACATCCTAGCATCTGTTTTTGACTGGTAAAGTACATTCAGCTAGAAAACCTAGCCCCTGGCTTCAGAGGCTTAAGAGGTTGGCATGGTTTACTGAGCCCTTATGGCCCATAGTTCTTTATTTCCATCAAAAGCAAAGTCTGCTATGGCTTTAAATAAAAGGTCTCTGTGCTGAGGTATATTATTGTCTAGAGAGATCTGGTGGCCTGATTAGGTTGAAATTAAACCATTAGAGACTCTTCAAAAACCGCAGTCAGGCCATGTCATGGGATATACACTGCTACATCAAGTCCCTGTCACCACTATGAGATGCTGGGAATGGAAAGGGTTTAATTAGATTGTCAAATCCACTTCTACCTGCCAGCATAAGAGAAGGTGGGCTAACGACTGATTTGGAAAATAACAATCACTGTTTTGTAACCTAAAGCCTTAATTAGCAGTTAGGGAATTGCTGTTGCTTCCATGCATCCCACTCTCAGACAGTGTAAGCATGCCGGGCACCAACTGTGATGAATTTCAATGTGTACTGTTTCTTGAAGCAATATCCTGCCAGGCTGGCCTATAAGATAACAAAATCTCAAATCTTCTTATTTAGAAGAACAAGAAACAGATTTTGGGGACATTCCCATTCCTTTAAAAGCTGCAAAGACCAGTTGGAAAAATCTGAAACAGCAGCCAAGGGCAGAAAATAAATTAATCTCCACCCTGCCTTGGGTGTTTCTCTTCCCAGTAGAAGTGGCATGCATACAGAGGCACACCTGGAAAAAGCAACATGGGATGGAGATAATGAGAGCTAGTCAGAGGGCAAAGAACACTTATTCTACCCATCAGTGGCTTTCCATATTAAAATGCTATCTGCTTTTAGAAAAAGCTACAAGAGTTCTTTAATTTCTCACATAATTAATTCCTGCCAGCTGGTATGCAAAACAAAGACAAGATGGGGAACGGTATTATCATGATAGATATTTCTATATTAACATTTTCCCCCTTAACACAATCCAATTTCCATAGTTTTCAAGTTAGGCAAATGATGCAGGACCAAGAGACTCCTAAATATTAATGTGACAACTCTCCTCTGAAACTTACCACAGATTGTTATCTCTTTGGAGGGAGAGGTTTTTATGTGAGTGAAATTCGGCATTTGCTTCAGGACTTTCCTAGCTTCAAATAGCACCTCTATGACGTAATGAGCATGAAGTGTCTGTGAAGAGGAAGCAGAGGAAACAGAGATAATGAATGAGGGAGAAAGATATGATTGTAGAAAACTATAACAATGAGTATATGAGAACAGTTCAGGTCGTTGTATTTCAGGATAATCTTTATTTTCAGATTATTCTAATATAGTGTCTAGAATTTAAAAAGCTCTCAGGAGATATTTGTAATTGAATGAATGAATGGTTCCTAAAATTATTTATAGTCTCATGTTTTTTGACATTATGCATTTGCTTACAATATTTTTGGTTCTTAGATCACAAGAGGAGAGATGAAAAAAAGGGGAGGGGGTTGGATTCACTTGCCCAAAGATAAAGTTCAGACAAAAGTGTAATAATAAGAATCGTTTAGCCCTCCCCCAAATGATATGACAGACTTTGATGATCCCCCATGGAAGGTCTCACCCTCCCTGGGAAGTGGATGGGGGGGTCACTGGGGGACATGGGAGGATGGGAGAGAGAGAGAGAGATCTGGGATTGATATGTAAAATAAGATTGTTCCTAAATAAAAAATAAATAAAAGGAATGTATAGTTTAATAAAAGAATCATTTAAAAGTGAAGGAAACAAGAAAGGAAAGGAAAAGGAAAGAGCCTATGAATGAGCAGTAGATCTTCATTTGTTGAGATGTCCTGCCACTTGCATAGTAGGTGTTTCTGAGTACAGAGCTCTCACTAGGGAGCCACACAAACTCCCAAGTCTCCTAAGTATGGCTCCAGAATTTGGTGTACAAGACAGCAAGCACATTACAATAAAAGTCTAACTATAGAAAATATTCCAATCTCAAAATACTTGGATTACCTCCTATTTGTTACTGCCTTACCACACTCCTTCAGCTACAGCATTGATGGGGTCATTGTTTCCTACAGATTTACTGTTTCTTTCTTAAGCTTTTAAAAATCCAATGTTTCTTTCTCCTTGGTTTTCAATTATGAATTTTCCAAACACATACTCCATAAAGAAAACAAATAGGTGATTATCACACAAACTTAACTGGTCTCAACACAACTTTAAGGGTCAGGTTGGCTTAGAATTGGTTTGTTCAACATGGTAGTCATTTGCAATATGAGATAACAGAGTACTTGAAATGGGGGTTAGTGAGAATTGAGAAGTGCTGTAAGAACAAAATTCCGGCAGGGCAGTGGTGCACAAGCAGTGGAGTAGCAGAGGCCGTCTCTGTGAGTTTGAGGTCAGCCTGATGAACAGAGCAAGTTCCAGGAGAGCAAAGGATGTTACACACAAAAAGTCTTTCTCAAACAACATCAAAGAACAAAATTCACACTGGATTTTAAAGACTTGGTATTAAAGAAGCACAAACTGTCTTAATGATTTTAATATGATTATATTTGAAAATGTTTCATATACTGAGATGTACTGAATTAAATATATTAAAATTAATTTTGTGTGCTTTTTCTCTCTTTTTTTTTTTGGTTTTACGAGACAGGGTTTCTCTGTTTTGGAGGCTGTCGGTCCAGCCTGGCCTCGAACTCACAGAGATCCGCCTGCCTCTGCCTCCCAAGTGTGCTTTTTCTCTTTTTTAATGTGAATACCAGAAAACTCTAAATATATGGTCCAAATGCTTCTATTAGACCCTCATTTCCTGCCCACAGAAGACAATGGACTCTTAGGTCTTTTTCCTACAAAAGTATTCTAAAGCCATTCAATCCTTAGTCATATTTTATTACTTTTTACTTTTTTATTTATTTAGGTTTTGAACACAGGGTCTGGATCTCACTACTTAGGGTAGATTGGCTCAAACATCATGACAACCCTTCTGCTTCCAGCTTCCCAAGTCCTTGGATTAACATTTCATTTGTTGTTTTACAATTTATTGTGTATTTTATTGGGGAGCACATACATATCACAGCACATGTTTGAAGGTCACAGGACAACTTATGAGAGCTGGTTCTCTCCTTCCACCATATTCCTTGGCTTGGTGGTGTGTGCCTTTACCCATTGATTCATCTCAATGGCCCCTGGATAAATATTTTAAAAGAAGGGGCAAAAATGCTGTTGTTTAATGACTTGTTTCTGTTTGTACATTTAATCTATACATTTCTAATGATGGTTTAATGTGCAATTGCAGTTCTTCTGGCCCATTGTACCATTAATCAGAGTAACTGCATCTAAAGATGTACTTAGCTTCATTTTGTTTTAAAATGTTAACAAATTTCACTAAAAATATTTTGTAAACAGAAATTGTTTAATATTAATATGGTTTTCTTGAGCATCCTCAACATTGGCTAAAATAACCTTGTTAATATTAGTACTTGCTTAGAAAGCTGTATATTGGGCTGGAGAGATGGCTCAGAGATTAAGAGCACTGGCTTCTCTTCCAGAGGTCCTGAGTTCAGTTCCCAGCAACCACATGGTGGCTCACAACCATCTATAATAAGCTCTGGTGCCCTCTTCTGGCCTGCAGGGATGCATGCAGACAGAACACTGTATAATAAATAAATAAACTTTTTAAAAAAAGCTATATATCAGCAGGATTATAACTGTTACGTTTACAACCAAAATATTAAATAATCAAAGTAGCTTATTCAAATGTTGATTTTATATTTATAAATATATCAGATAAAAGAACCACTTCAACAAAGTATTAACATTATCATAAAGGTGTCCAACCACGAAACTTTTACTTTGCAAGGATATTTTCCTCTTTGTATGCATTTGTGTGTGTGTGTGTGTGTGTGTGTGTTAATGTCTGTGTGTGTTTGTATGTATGAGAGAGAGAGAGACAGAGAAGGAGATGAGACAAAGAGAGAGATTGACTGTCCTAGAACTAGCTATGTAGACTAAGCTAGTCTTGAACTTGGAGCAATACTCCTGTCTCTGCCTTCATTCCAAGTTCTGTAATGCAGACATATGTTACCACACCTGGCTTATTTCTCACTACATACCAAACTATCCTTAAACTCATAGTGATCCTATTCCTCTGCCTTCCAAGTGCTGGGATTTAAAGCATGTGTAACCATGAGTGGCTCAAGTAGTTTTTAAATGACAAACAACACATTCTTTTGGCTGAAATAATTAAAAGGGGTAGGTAGAATAATGAAAAATTATTTTTCCTTTTCCTCAGACTTTTGTTTGTAATCTCTGTCCCTAGAGATAGTCAATGTTGATGTTTTGGGTATCTGTTTATGAGCAGATAAAAATGAATATGTTAATATTCATATGTAGGTACAAATGTTTAATCCCTTAAATAAACATATTATACATACAAAGCAACTGTACATTAACCTAAAAATATGAATAAAACACTGGTGTATGTAATAACATGAATGAATTCTGAAAGCATTATGACAAATGAAAGAAGCCAAACACCAAAGGCCACATATGTTCTCTTCATATGACATATCCGATTAGTGACTGTTAGGAGCTGAGAGTTGGAGGAAAGAGAGTGGATGCTAACGAGTATAAAGTTTCATTTTGAAATGACAAAAACATTTGGGAAATAGGAACTCTTGCCCAGTATATACGAGGCTATGGGTTCAATCTCTAATACTGAAAAATAAATAACTTTAAAAAGTCCTACACCCCCATGGAGGGCCTCACCCTCCCTGGGGGAATGAGGGGATAATGGGGGGGTTGGGGAGAGGGCACGGGAGGCGGGAAGGGAAAGGGAGAGGGACCTGGAACTGACTTGTGAAGCAGCCTTGTTTCTTATCTAAATTTAAACTGTAAAATAAATAAATAAATTTTAAAAAGTCCTAGAACTAAATAGTGGCAATAGTTGTATAGCATTTTAATATACTCAGAACAATATGTTATTTAAAAAGCACTTAATTTGGGGATTATGGTTTCAGAGGGTTCTATGAATGTCGTAGCAGGGAGCATAGCAGCAGGTAGGCAGGTGGGGAACTGAGGAAATAGCCGAGTATTCAGGTTTCCACAATCAACAAGAATTAGGCAGAGAGAATGGTTCAAGTCTTTTTAAATCTCAAAGCATACCCCAAGTGATATACTTCCTCCAATGAGGCTACAACTCCTAATCTCCCCCAAATAGTTTCATTAACAGGAAACCAAATATTCAAATACATGTGGGGGTCTCTGGGGGATATGGGAAGATGGGAGGGAGAGGGAACTGGGATTGATATGTAAAATAAGATGGTTTCTAAAATAAAAAATAAAAGCTAGAAATACTTAACTGTTCAAAAGGAAACCATTCAGTGCAAAACTTCGGGTAAATTTGGATATTTTATTGCAGTTAAAATAGATTCTATAATCTGACAAAGCAATAGGGTAGATTTATAGCAAATCTACAAACATGTTAGTAGAAGATTATGCTTGTATCACTATTTTTAATTTGTATTTTCATCTCTCTCGCTTTTCCTCTTTCTTTTACTTCTCTTGTTCCATTCTCCTCCCTCTCTTTCATCTTGCTTTATCTGTAGTGAACAGTGAAAAATTTGGAAGAAGGCACTTAAAAACAACCCTGAATGTTAAAATATCCTGCATAAGAGAAATTCATTGTTTTCTAGGACACAAAACAAATCAAGAGTTCAAAGAAGAAAAATTAGAAATTACAAGGGAAACATTAATGTTTTCTTTTGGAATAAAAAACAAAACTAGGTTCATTAAGCAGCATTAAAACAGCCTGAAATCCCAGAGAATCCAGAGCAAAACATAAATACATTTAAAATACACATGCATTTAAAACATACATGTATTATAATTAATCTGTTGATGTGTCTGGACCATAAGTGAGTCTGTGGTGAACAATTAAAGATTGCTTCTCCAAATAAAATAAGACAATTGAAACTACCAAGAGTAAGAATAATCAATGATAGACATGAGCTACTTGAAAATACAAATTGGTATACCTATGCTGCTTTAAAACATAGTAAAGTTTTGTTAAGTTAACTTGTATGCTCGTTGGAATCAAAGCACGACTGTAACAAATTAATAAATGGTAATATTTATATAAGAAAGTTACGAGTGACTAGTAGGAACTTGTATTTTCTGTGTCCTCTGAAGTGTGAGCAATC